TCTGTTTCCGTTCTCACGGGGCGGGCTAACTGCCCTGAGAGGCAGCGCCTGGACAGTAGACGATGAAGCTTCAGCTTCCTGGGAGCCCCTCTGGCGCAGGCGGAGACCGGAGGCTGGGCCCGTAATGACGGGTGGCACACTTGGAGCATTCGCTCCATTCCCTCCCGACACTTGCGGAACCTGGAGAGGGTGGGGAGGTGGCAGAGGCGGAATCTGGTGAGGGTGGGGAGGTGGCAGAAGCGGCGGAGGGGCATAGGGGGGTGGAGATATGCTGCTTTCTAAATCCATCAGATCGAGGTCAACCTGAGAATTAGGTAAAACCGGTGGAACAGCTGCTTGGGACCCAGGTCGTCTGGGTTTCTCCTTCCCGCTAGTCCCAAGTGAGGATGTTAATACCTTAACAGAAGGTTTCGGAAGAAAAGGTTTTAGCTATGGGGGTGGATTAGTTACCATATCTTGCTACACTAAAATGTAAGAAAATTGGTCCGGGTGCTCATGTTGGGGGCCAGCTGCTTGAACTCGGTCGAAGACAGCTGCAATCGTTTTTTCATCCAGTGAGCCCTCCAGGGGCCACCCCACCTCAAGGGAAGGCTATTCTGAGGAGCAAAAAGTTATTAGTTTATTCTTCTTAATTATCACAGACAAACTAGATCCTCTGGTCTTAAACTCTGAAAAATGTTCAATCATCAGGGACAGAGGGGTAGTCTGTTTCTGTCCCATTTCAACTTTCTTCAAGAAAACACAGAACGAACAAAAGACAGTGGCTACACACCAAAACGGACAATACAAAATATCTGACGCTCAGAGACACCAAACCAGACAACACAGATACCCGATACCCAGAAGAGATCTCGTTCCTGCACCACAGATTGGAGGGTCCTCTCCCCTCCCCAGAAGTGGGCTGCTCTTACCAACAATGCCCAAAGCCTGCCTGTGAGCTGAGGAAGGGCACCTTCCCCCGCTCACCCAGCGCGTCCGCCAGTGCCCAGCCTTTCCTGATGGACTAGTGTCCTTACGCAAAGGACGTATCTAGTCCAGCCGGCTCCAGTTCCTGAAACTCTCCTACTGTCGTGGCAACTTCACTCGATCCGAATCCTCCTTTCCTGGCCAACGCACCAAATGTTGTGCTCAGGTTATGAAGGAGATGTTCGGAGAGGAATATGCTAATACACAACAATGCAAATGCAATAGGAAAATTTATTAGTTAACTTAAGTTAGGGTCTTTGCTCTTACCAGGTCAGTGGCTTAAGTAAAAGACCCCGTGCCCCGGTATTCTCACAAATTTATGGAACAATATGGGGAGGGGCAGCACCAGGGCAAGAGGGTACAGATGATTGGTTGTTGCTAAGGGATTTAGGGCAGTGATCTAAGATGTTGGGGGACGTAAAGAAACCCCCCGGCTCCAAAGTTCACTTAGGAAAATATTATCTAGGGAGGATGCGGCTCAGGTATGTGGGAGACTTTCAGGAGTCGAGCAAATCTCTGATACGTGCTGAATCCGGATGGCTTTTGTGATGCGTGCTGAGTTCGGAGGAAGTTCCTTGATACCTGCTGAGACTGGAGGGCAGATAAAGGCCCTAAAGAGTCCAAAAGTTCTGTTAGTAATGCTGACACTAAAAGGTTTCTGGTTAAAGATTTTCCTGGAGGCTACTAGAGCTCTCAGATTCACAGTGCCTCCAGCAGTGATGGGGAAACAGTACAGTCATGGAAAAGCATATTTATGGCTCAAAGATACATAGCTAGAAATGTATAGCTCTGTATATGCACAGAGCAGGGAAACGAAGAGGGAAACAGCCCCCACAATCAAGATGACGTCAGGTCACTCATTCAGTTGAGAACTGAAGAAACTGTCCGTAACGCTTGAGTCCCTTGAAGCAGCCTCGTGGCTGCTCTGCAGGCCTCCAGTGTCTGCATCCCCTGTCCCTGAATGAATCCTGAGACTGCCTTTGGTTTCAAATGCATATTTGGAAAAATATATAGTGCCCTTGTTTATCGTGACTCCACATATTTTCAAAGTGCACATTCGAACCTCTTTTTAAATGTAAGATAGCCTTGAAGTTTTGCTGATGAGCACAAAGCCCTCCTTCCCCATGGATCCCAAAGTAGCTCTTAGGAGGGTGTGACTCGTGGGTATACTCAGTTTTAAAACAAAGCCATGGTGTGTGAAGAACTGGGGTGTGGGGTTCCCAGTCCCTGGCTGGTGAGCATTTTTCTCCTTCCTTCTTGAAATTAAGTTCTCATAATGGGTGAAAAACAATCCACCAGTCAAAAGTCCCAGCTCCTCCAGGAACTGGCTTTGTGAGCTTGGCCGAGCCACTTCTTCACTGGTTCTGACGGCACAACGTGGGAGCTGAGGTTCCAGCCTGCCAGCCCATGATCGCAACCAGACCAGTAATGCTTTGGCCTGTGTGGTGGTTTGGAGGCCTGTGTGGTGGTTTGGAAGTGTGTGAACATTTAAAAAACAGGAATTGTCTCTTCTGGAACAATCTGAAGATGGGGCAGTACTGCTAGAGACAGTGTTATCTCCCCCGACACCATGCCTTCTTCATCTGACCTGAAATCCAAGGCCAGCTTCCCAGGTTCAGGTCGTCAGTGGTAGGTGGTGCCGAGTGGCACAGTGATGGCGCCCCTGACCCGAGTGGCTAAGCAGCGTCGTGCAATACTTAGTGTCACAGTCTGCCTATGCTTTCTCTCCAGTGAAGCTGAGAGACTTTGAGTCGGCCGTGGGCAATTTCGAGAAGGCCCTGGAGAGAGCGAAGATCGTCCATAACAACGAGGCGCAGCAGGCCATCATTAGCGTGAGCATGTCCCCCCGCTGGGCCTCGGGAGTGGGAGTCTGGGTGGGCAGTCAGCCAGCATAAGCACCAGCATCAGCCTTTCCACTCAGCAGGGCCACGGGGGTGGGGGCTGGGCACCGGCACCCTCAGCCTTCTCAGTTGGCCGTTCCACATTCACCGCTCACCAATGACAGGACACTTTCTAGGTGGGGCAGTGGCTTTCAAACGTTTGCTACTGCCATCAGCAGTAAAAACTCTTTTATATAGTATATATGTATTTTATATATTTATTTTATATAGTATATATGTATTTTTATTTAAAACAAACAGTAAAAAGAAAAAAAAACAGAAACATATTTTACAAAACAATTCTTACATCTACACTCATATTTTCTATATTATGTAGTTTTATTTAATGTTAGTTGAAACCTTCTCCACCAACTTTAGGCCTCCCAGTTTGAAAAACACACCTCTAGGAGACAAGAAGAAATACAGTCGCATTTCCTCACTCTCTTGCTTAAACCCTTCGTTGACTCCCTGGTGTCTGTTTTCCTGCTGGGAGGGAAGGCCTTAGGTAACCTCTCCCCGTGGGCCTCTCCAGCGCTCACAATGGTCAGTACCGCCCCCACCACCACTTGCACTCCAGCTAAAGCAGAGCTTCAGGGCTTCCTGTTGTTCCCTGAACAGGCTTACTTATGCCTCTGGGGTGTCCCTGCCTGGAATGTCCTTCTAAATGTCTCCTCCCACCTCCTTCACCTAATTCCCACTCAACCTTTAGGTTTCAGCTTCCATGTCACCTCTTTCAGGAGGCCTTCTCTGACTTACAGGCTGGGTGAGGCTCCCACACCCCGTATATGTCCCTGTCCACATCAAGCACTCTTACAATTGCCTAGACCTGCACCATTCAGAAAGGCAGCCACTAGTCACCTGTGGCTATCTGAAGTCAAATCAATTAAAAGTAAATGAAGTTCAAACTTCAGTCTCTTCGTCACACTAGCTACATTTCAAGTGCTCAGGAGCCACGTGTGGCTCAGGGGTAGCACCTAGTGCAGACACAGGACATTCCTACCATCGTAGAAAGATCTGTTGGACGGTGCTGGCTTAGACCTAAGCATCGTGAGGCAGAGACCGGAGGGGAAGCATGGGGAAGCTTGGAGAAGCTTTAGGCCCCCAGTACACCCAGAACCACTGCAGATGGTCAGACAGACCACCTTAGGACGGTCAGCCTGCTCATCTCCAGATGCACAGGCACCTACCACAGTCCTCGAACTGCCCCAGGTTGCTGCCCCAAAGCCCTTCCCGTGTAGAGATTCTGGAGTATGGTTGGACCCCAGCACACATCTGCCGGAGTGAATTAACAGAGCCCCTGCCCTCAGGGAACCTGCCACTGTGGTTGAGCGAGCCCAGGCTGGCATAATTAGCAAGCAGCATAGGCCCACAGCCTTGGGGACCAGACTAGAGATGCAGCAGGCCCTGGGGAAAGGGAGTGGGTTCCTGGGAAGGAGCACCCTGGGGATGCTCCAATCAGAGGTGGGCTTCATGCTGGGCTTCAAGGATAAGGACAGTGGGATTTGGCCAGGCCGGCCGAAAAGGGACAAGGGCACCAAAGTGTGAGAGCAAGTAGGGGAGCTCAAGGATCTGTGGGAGGCAGAACAAAGACCCTGGACCCAAAGGCCAGTGAGGTTCACTGTGGCCCCAGACAGTCAGCTGACCCGCTTGGACTGCAAGGGCTAAAATGGCCAAGAAGCAGCCTGACCAACTCGTCTTTTAGGAGGCGAGTTCGTGAGTGTGCTGGCCATGAGGACCTTGGTGAGGCTGACACTTTCCTAGACTGTGGAGAAACCGCTCCCAAGATCTGCCAACAAGTGGCAGTATAGCCTCTGCTGCCTCACCTCCCAGGGCGGCTCTGGCCTGTTGCATTGCAGTCTTTTTCATTCTGTTGAGGAGAGAGGGCTCCCTGTAATGCTGGCTTCCAGAGGAAAAGTGCTAACCTTTCCTGAAGGCCTGCCACGTGCTCCAGGATTCACATACGTGGCCTCTTCCATGCAGTCGCCCTGCAAATACCTGGAGAGAGACAGCATGGCAACTCAATTCTGCAAGTGTTTACCGAGCATGAGGCTGCTCTGGGCTACCCAGCACAAAGGTGACTGGACAGTGGTCCTGGCCCTCAGGAAGCCTGGTGTCAGCAGGAAGGCTAAGACAAAAGCACAAACCCCTGTTTATGATCTGTTGGACAAGGGACTAAAACCAGTCGGCTCAGACTCATGGTGACCCTTGTGTGTCACAGTGGAGCTGTGCTCCATAGGGGTCTCGATCATGGATTTTTTGGACGTAGATCATCAGACATTTCTTCCAAAGCACCACTGGGTAGACTTGAACCTCTAACCTTTTAGTTAGAAGCTGAGGATTTTAACTGTCTGTACCACCCAGGGACTCTGATAAGGGAGGAGGGGAGTTCAAAGGCAAGAGTCTTAGTGGGGAGGCAGGGCTGGAGCCTTCACCACCAGGAGGGTTTGAAGTCACCTTGACAACTGGACAGGAGCTTGAAGGGTTGAGAGGCTGCACAGGCCCCTACCCTCAGAGACTTCTCACAAGACTGGATCCTGACCCTTCACCCTGCAGGACTGGCACCTGCAGGCATCTTACGTGGTACAAGCCCACACTGGCAGAGCATGTTCAGGTCCTTCAGGGAATGTTTGCCAGTTGTCTCCTGGGGCTCTGCCCTGTGCTAATTGCTAGGAGGCAAAAGGCAGTGTCTGCCCCTAAGATGCTTCCAGGCTGAGGTCTAGCCCCTGTGGAATATGTCCTCGAGTTGGACACCCAGGCAGCCCTTTCTGAAGGCAGGCCAGCTCCCCCACCCCCACAGTGTGTTTCTGGGTCCCCTTGTTTGCTCCCTGCCTGGCTGAATGCTCAGCAGGCTTGAACCGCTTTTTTGCATTGGCTGGAGCCAAAAGCAGCTTTCAGAAAAAAGGTAGAAATTAGCAGATAGACATAACCCCAAACATATGCCTGTGCACAAGAGAAATGTATTAGCGCCCATTGCCGTAGAGTCGATTAGATTCTGACTCATAGTGACCCTCCCTTTGGATTTCTGAGGTGGTAAATCTTTATGGAAGTAGGTTGCCCAGTCTTGCTTCCACGGAGTGGCTGGTGGGTTTACACCACCAACCTTCTGGTTAGCAGTCAGATGCCTTAGGCACTGTGCCACCAGAGCACATCGTTCATATGCTTAAAATGATGTTGTTGTGTGCCGTCAAGTCAACCCCGGCTCATAGCGAGCCCTCCTTGGGTTTCCAGGGTGGTATCACTACGGAAGTAGATTGCCCAACCTTCCTTCCGAGGAGTGACTCATGGGTTTGAACCACAAGCCTTCTGGTTAGCAGTCAAGTGCCTTAGGCACTATGCTACCAGAGCTCCTAACTGCATAGAAAGGATAATCCTAAATCAATAAGTATCAATTAACCTCAGAGCGGGAGGGCTTCAGAGGAGCCTCAAAGGAAACTGAGGGTGGGCAGGGTTAAAGCAGGGCCCTGCCTTCTGGGACTGGGCTTAAGAGAGTTCACTGCTCCCTCTGCCACCCACAGGCCTTGGACGATGCCAACAAGGGCATCATTGAAGAGCTGAAGAAAACTAACTACAGGGAGAGACTCAAGCAAAAGAGAGAGAAAGGTGAGCTCCGGGAACCGGAACAAAGCCACTGCGGTTTCTCCCTCATCTTCTCTTCGGTCTGTCCCAGCGACGCTTTCCAGCAGCTTCTCCTGGCCAGGAGCCTGTGTGTGTGTGGGGGGGGGGGGCCCACCCCACCCCATCCCACCCCACTCCACCCCTGAGCCTCCGGATTTCAGCGCTGCCCCAGCCCTTCTGGGCAGCACCCTTGTTCCCTGGAGCAGGGCAGACAGGGAGAAGGTCTAGCCAGAGATTTGAACCCAGGCCGTCTGACTGGAGAGCCCACTCATTTAGTCCTTCAGTTAATTCATCTAACATTCTTGGGAAGTGCTTGTCATATGCCAGGAAGGTGTTAGATTCTGGGGAGGCAGAGGATCTCTCCACCCCGCAGGGGGAAAGAGCAGCAATGGGCTTCCCGCTGTCCTAAGTGCTGTTGTCCGATTGGAAATGCAGCGCTCCAGAGTGCGCATAAAGGAGCACTGGGTTTCTGAGGAGATAGGGAGAGAGGAAGAATCCTGGAGTTCATCAGGTGAGAGGTGGAAGCGAGAGGGTGGCAGGGAACAACAGGAGCAAAGACACAGGCATGACAGTAGCTTACACTTTTGGAGCCAAGGCATGTGCCAAGTTAAGTACCAGGCAGAAATGACCTCATTCAGAACCCACTACCTGAGGAGGTGTTGTTGTTGTTGTTGTTATGCCCTGACTCATAGGGACCCCTCCTTGGGTTTCTGAGGCAGTATCACTACAGAAGTAGGATTGCCCAACCTTCCTTCCGAGGAGTGGCTGGTGGGTTTGAACCGCCAGCCTTCTGGTTAGCAGTCAAGTGCCTTAGGCACTATGCTACCAGAGCTCCTCCCTGAGGGGTAGGTACTGTTTTAGGGAGAAATGGAGGCTGAGCCAGCGAGGTGGACTCACTGCCACGGCCCACAGACAGGAAGGGGTGGGGCTGGCCTTGAGCCAAGATGGCTGAGCGCAGCCCGCTCTCTTCTCCACTGGGTGGCGCTGCTCTGCGACTAGCAGAGGGAAAAACCCGCCGGTGAGTCGATTCCGACCCTTAGCCACCTTATAGGGCAGAGTAGAACTGCCTCACAGGGTTTCGAAGGCTACACTCTTTATGGAAGGTGACTGCCCCATCTTTTTGTTGTGAAACAGCTGGTGGGTTCAAATGGCCGACCTTTTGGTTGGCAGCTGAGCGCTTTAACCACTGTGCCCCCAGGGTTCCTTAGCAGAGGATCGGGCAGGTGAAAAACAGAAAACTGTTCAGTACAGATTTTGTAAACACAGGTAAACCGGTGCTTACCTGGCTTACTAGGTACTCTGCCCCTGTGAGGAATTACAAATTTGGAAACAATTTGATTCTGTAGGAAGGTGCTGTGGAGTTGGGAGAGAGACAGATGCAGCAGCCATACCAAAGCAGAATCTTTGATGTGGTGAAAAAATGGGAAATTGTTCACCACAGATTAGTATACAAGCTCAATAAGCCCCTGCTTACCTTACTTATAGAGTAATCCGACACTGGGTGTGGGTGTGGGTGTGGGCGTGGTTGTGCAGTGCAGAGGCGGCTCGGTCTGGTTTTGCCTGACAGCCATGCTCCCACTGCTGGTCTGGCCTTATTGTTCTTCCTCACAGGACTCTAGGAAGTGAGTAGACCAGCAGGCCCCATATCAAGTGGGTGTCAAGGTGCCCTGGCATCTCCCAGCCCACAAAGTGGAAGGGGTGAGGGCAGGGGAGGCAGGCAGTTGCAAACCCACCCCACCAAAGTCAGCAGAGAAGGGCCGCAGAGGAACGTAACTGCTGTTCCACTCAGTGCTTCCTGTATGCCAGGCATCCTCTTAAGGGCTTTATATGCGTGGACTCATTCTCCCAGCGACAGTATGAAATAAATATAGTGGCTTGATTTTACAGAGAAGACACAAAGGTAGAGATTAAAGGTCTCACGGTGGTTTTCATCTGACTTGGAGCAATAGATGGGAAGAGAGACAGCAGGGAAATAGCTGATGCTCCAAGCATCTCCCCTGGGGCAGGCCATTCCTTTTGGAAGGTGTCTTCCCAAAAACTCAGGAAGGCCCTGCAGCCTTCAGAACAGCAGGAGGCAGCATTGCATATGTTTTCACCTGGGAATGGCTGCCTTTATCCTGTGGTGAACCCTCTTCAGAGCCATCTTAGAGACCAGGAGCTTCCAGGAAGAGAATGTGGGGGGAGACTCAGGAGGGGACTGCTGATTTTCTTCTGTAAATGCTAAAAGCAAGGAGCAGGGATACCTTTAGTTGTAAGTAGTCCCCCAGCTGCTAGCAGCCTGCTCAGACGTTCACAGGCGACCTCCCAACAAAGAAGGAAGGCACTTCCCAGGGACAACAAGAAAAGTCTTGTAGGGAAAAGAGAATGGGCTCCAGGGTCAGTCTGTTCTACGCTCAGATTCTGACTCTGCCATTCATTTACTTGCATGGCGCCCACTGGGTGTCATTCCAATCAACTTCAGGTCCCTTGACCGTCAAACTGGCTCACAGGCACTGGGTAGCACTATGATGACTGAATGGTGTAACCTGCCCAGCACCTCACCTGATGCCTGGAACAGGGGTGGTGCTCAGTAGAGGGTGGTTCCCTTCCTCTCTTTTTTGGAAGGTGTGCTGTCCGCCACCAATTTACAGAGCGGCAAACGTAGCCACTCTCAGGGTCTTTTTCTCAGAAGCACAGTCCTCCATAGGCTGGGGACTCACCCAGGCTCAAAGATAAACTTTGATCTTCCCTCTTCTTCTCCCCACCCCCCCAGAAGAGGCCATGGAGTTGGATGGTGCCTCAATGAAGGCAAAGAGATTTAATGAGAAGGAAATGAAACGAGTGAAGGAAGAACCTGAGAAGGTGATGAAGCGGTGGGAGAGAGAGCATACTGAGACAGATGACGAGATGTCCAAGGAAGACCTAACGAGCATAGCATATGGGCGGGAAGAGAGCAGACAGAGACCAGATGCCTCCAACAGCAGCTCCTTCAGAACAGGACTGGGAGAGATGGAAAGCGATTTGGAAGAAGTTGGCCAAAGACTGCCTGCGGAATTAGACAGAAGAGAATCAACCAAAATTTATAGGAAGTCTTCAGAAGAAATAGGCCCCACGCTCTCAGCAGGATTAAGCAGAAGTGAATCGGAAGAAAACAAACTTTCAGAACTAGGCAGAAGTGAGTCGAAAGAACTGGAAGAGTTAGAGGTGGGAAACACAGAAGATTCTGAAGAGATGGAAAAAGAAGAAAAGGAAGATGAATGAAGCCTTAACGGGCATTAGGATCAGAAGGCTGGAGGTCACAGGGATGATGGGGATCTTATTAAACTAGATTTTCAAGCTGAGATTTGTCTTTAATAGAAAGAAATGGGGGCCTGGGCCCTGCTGGTCACCTCTGCCTTTGCCTGTCACCGTTTTCCCTTAAAATACATTATCTTTTACTCTTACTAACCCTGAGTTTATCATTTTGCCTTCTCACCCCCATCCAGTCTCAGAAGAGCCTTAGAGAATGAATCAGTGATTCCTGTGGGTGTGGGTACCACTTTCCAAGTAGAACTGTTGTCCCAAAATCCCAAACAAGGCCCGACCAAAAGGGTAACCAAGGTGTGAAACGTAGCCCTCTCCACCAGACCTGTCCTACGACGTCATGGGAGAAAAGGGCGTTTCGGAATGTTTTCAGGAGGGTGAAGAAACAGGTGAGTTCCAAAGAACCAGGGAAGCTTAACTAGAGGAAGAAAGAGGATTTGGGCAAAGCCATGTATCTGCCCAGCCACCGGCCATTGGTTGATTTGGCTAAGTTCCTGCTGTGTGCAGGACACTGTGGGAGACTTTATGGAAGAAGTGATGAGACAGGCAATAGAGGAGGAGGCTGACTTATAAACCTCTAAGCCTTCAGAATGAAATGAATCCTGGGACTGATAAGGGACCACTGTGCTCTAGGATTCCAGGGAAAAAGATGGCACCTTCTGAAGAAAGGAGGCTGAGCCTGGGAGTCGAGGCACCAGCTGGAGTCAAGTTCTCCAAGCTTGTTTACTCATCTGTAAGGGTACCTGCCTTGGGCCGGTGTGAAAATTAAATGAGTGTTTAGCATAGCACTGAAAACCAAACAAACTCACTGCCTCCAGTCGCTTTTGACTCATAGTGACTCCTCCGTGGATTTCCAAGGCGGTATCTCTACAGGAGTAGAATGCCCACCTTTCATTCAGAGCGGTGTCTGGTGTGTTTGAACCACCAGCCTTCTGGTTAGCAGTCAAATGCCTTAGGCACTACGCCACCAGAGCTCCACAATACTTGGCACATAGCAAACTTGAAAACTGAACCAAGGGTTGAGTGGCTTCGCAGAGGAGGTGGCGACTGAGCAGCAGGCTTTAGAGACTGAGTCAGGATTCCAATCCATTCTCTGCCCCTTTGGTTCTGTCTCCAGTCCTTAGAAGGGTTGGGGTTGCGGCTGACTTTAGGCTGGGGTAAAACGGGAGGAGGGTGAGGTGAGGTAAGCTTCCGGCCAAAATTGAAAGCGAAACACCAAACCAGTTGCCACAGAATTATTCTGATTCATGGCGACCCCATGTGTTTGTTTCACAGTAGAACTGAGCTCCACAGGGTTTCAATGGCTATGCTCTTTCAGAAAGTGTTTGCTCAAGTTGCCTCTGCGTGGACCTTTCCCTTAGTAGCCAAGTGTTTAACCATTTGCCCCACCCAGGGACTTAAGGGGGCGCCAAAACACTCACTGATCAAGATAATATTTTTAATGCAACTATCCATGATGCATAACATTTTAAGGACATCTCGACTTGTCCTTGCACGATCCCGCCTCACTGCCTCACTGCCTCATCCTAACTTTGCCCTTGGTCTGGAGGTTCATTAACAAGCCGGAGGAAAAAAAGAGGTCAAACGAGCTCTCTGGTCGCCGCGGGTCGTCAAGCGCTTGCGTAGGTTCACCGCTCTGAGCAACTGAAGACCCACGGTCTTCCTCCTGGCGCCGAGCCGTGCTACGTTTCGATTGTGCAGCGCCGGCGCGCAGAGCGGCCGGACCGCCCCCTACCGCCTGCCCCGCCCCCCGGAGTATGTAAACCGGTCTGGGCTTTGGTCGCGTCACCGCTCCATTCCCGTGTCCCTCCGCGCAGGCGGGTGGCCCCGGAGAGCGAGTGCCTGCAAAGGCGGCGGCCGCGGCGCCCCTTCCTCATCATGGTGAGCCGGGGGCGGGTGAAAGGCCGGGAGGGGAGGGAGAGGACTGGGCCGAGCAGATGCGTAGCGCCGTAACGGAAACCAGAGTATTTTGGGGTTATTGGGTGGAAGTGGCATGCAAATGAGAATCGAGCTTCCGGAGTTGAGTTCCAGCTTTCTTGGGAACCAAGTGCAGTCCTACGGTAAGGGAGAAGCGGGGAGATTTGGGGAATGTGAGGGTTGGAGGAGGAAAGCGATGGGGGGACCTAGATGGCGTGTGGGCCTGACCAGGAGAGTACGATGGGGACCCTGGCCTGGTTCCGACCCCCGTGCTGGCCCACCCTCGCGCAGCCATTCCTGGTCTTCCCCTCTCTTAGGGCCTCTCTGCTAATACCATATGCCAACTAAGAGGCCTTCAGGGAGGTGGAGCCAGTTTGGAAGAGAAGATGGGTTTATGGGGTTCCGTTGTCACTTGTGGCTTTTAGCAGATAGGAAAACAAGTGGCTCAGAGAGGTGCTGGGGACACACAACAAAGTGATGGGCAGAGCTGGCCCCTGAACGCAGGTGCCTGTGCCGTCCAGTTCTAGGACAGGCACAAAGACCACAACTTTGTGGGGGGCAGAGAGAGGGCAGGAGGAGGTGGCAGGCGTGATGAATGAGGTCCTTTGTCCAAACTCTCCTGCCCTGCCCCCCACCAGCCCTTCTGTGGGACCATTGTCCCCCCATCCCAGACAAGAGAGTATTATCTGTTCCTGCCATTGTTGGGGGCAGGGAGGCAGTCTTTCAGTAACCAACCCCCCATATACACTCTGAACCAGGGCAGCTGAGTCTCTGCTTGAATAGAGAAACCCCGCCCCCAAAGAGGACATCCTTAATAGTTGCCAAGAATATAAAAATTGGGGCCAGGCCCCAGAACCACAGGCGCCAGACCCTCCCTTGCATGCACTTCAGCAGGTCTTTAGAGGTGGCGGCAGTGGGTTGATCTTTGAGGTACCGCTCTAGCTGGAGGGAAGCAAGGGTGTAGTTACCCTCAGGGGAGCTTCCCTCTCCATCCTCCACACCAGGAGTAGAAAGATACTACCAGGCACTGAAAAATCCAAAACCAAACTCACTGCCATTGAGTCGATTCCGACTCATAGTGACCCCCTTTGGGTTCCCAGGGCAGTAAATCTTTAGAGAAGTAGATTGCCCAGTCTTACTTCTGCAGAGTGGCTGGTGGGTTTGAACCGCCAACCTTCTGATTAGCAGTCAAATGCCTTAGGCACTGTGCCACCAGAGCACCTTGCAGGGGACAAAAAGAGGGGCATAATTTTTTCTCAGTTGCCATCCAGGCTTCTCTGACTCATGGTGAACTGTGCTATGTAGGGTTTTCGGGGGCTGTAGCTTTTTGTTGGTTTTCTCCAGAAGTAGATTGCCAGGCCTTCCCAGGTGCCTTTAGGTGGACTTGAATTTCCAACCTTTTGTTAGCAGCTGAACATGCTAACTGTTTATACCACCCAGGGACTCTGAGGGACAGGGTAGGCCCTAGAAAAGTCTTATCACTCCACCACTTGGGAAGGCACTTTGAATCCCAGAAATGCTTGTAAACCAGAGCGTGGGAAGCCAGGTTAGAACTGGGCCAGAGAAAAGGGGCAAGGCTGGTGGGGTGGCTGCTGGTGACCTGGGCTGACGTCTGTTCTTCCCTTCCTCACCCAGAATAGAGGCTTCTCCCGAAAGAGCCACACTTTTCTGCCTAAGATCTTCTTCCGCAAAATGTCATCCTCCGGGGCCAAGGACAGGCCTGAGCTGCAGTTTCCCTTCCTACTAGATGAGGACACAGTGGCCACGCTACAGGAGTGCAAGACACTCTTCATCCTGCGTGGCCTGCCAGGAAGCGGCAAGTCCACGCTGGCACGTGTCATCGTGGATAGGTACCATGACGGCACCAAGATGGTGTCTGCTGACACCTACAAGATTAAGCCTGGCGCTCGCGGAGCTACCTCCGAGGAGTACAAGCGGCTAGACGAGGAGCTGGCCACCTACTGTCGCCGGGACACCAGAGTGCTAGTGCTGGATGACACCAACCATGAGCCGGAGCGGCTGGAACAGCTCTTTGAAATGGCTGACCAGTACCAGTACCAGGTGGTGCTGGTGGAGCCCAAGACGGCGTGGCGGCTGGACTGTGCCCAGCTCAAGGAGAAGAACCAGTGGCAGCTGTCAGCCGATGAGCTCAAGAAGCTAAAGCCAGGGCTGGAAAAGGACTTCCTGCCACTCTACTTCGGCTGGTTCCTGACCAAGAAGAGTTCGGAGAGCCTCCGCAAAGCCGGCCAGACCTTCCTGGAAGAGCTGGGGAACCACAAGGCTTTTAAGAAGGAGCTTCCACACTGTAGGTGGCAGGGCTGGGGCGGGGGCTGAGCAGAAAGCTAGGCCCCTCAACTGTGAACCCTGTTCTCTAGCCCAGCACCTACTAGGTGCTAGGTGCTGTGTGGACAGGACTATTGTTCCTAAAGGACTATGGGCCAAGTGGGGAAGGCAGGCAGATGGGGGTTCCCTGGTAGCAGGCAGGAGCAAGTCGGCACTGACCAGCGGTGGCCTTGGGGGATGGCGGCATGGTGGAAATGTGTGGGCTGGTGCCTCCTGGAGCACCTGCCCTCCTGCACCTTTCCTCCCTGCACTCTTCTCCCCTCTCCCAGCCTGGGTCTGGACCACTGTCCCTGCCTCAGAAGTGGGAAAAACAAATTACTGTCACAACAGGAAATGTGTCACCATGAGATAGAACCTTGAAAAATCCACTCCAGTGTTTTAAAAATCATTTTAAGCAGAACCATTTTCTAACACAACATATTACATGACACCCTACAGTGTAAACAAAATGCTAAGGAGGACTGCTCTGACTTCTCTGGGGATGGTTCCCAGACCCTGGGCTACCTGCCCTCCTCTGGACCCCCAGTGTACCTCCGTGGCATCCCCGGGCTCCAGGGAAAGAGTCTGAACTTGAGCCCAAACCTCACGTTTTGCAGACAGGGAAACAGGCCTGTGGGATTTGCCCAGAGCCACCAAGCATGGAACCCTAGATTCTAGACTCAGCAGGGGCCTGCATTCTGGGTTGGGGCCAGGTTCTTTCCTAGCTAGGGCTATGTGCACCAGTGAGAGGGTTGGTTTGGGCTAAGGAAGGTCCCTGGTGGCCCTCATTCTCCTACTGGGGCCTCTTGGAGCTCTGCCACCTACTATGCCTTTAACCTGTTTCCAGTTCCCCAAATTTTAGATGCTGTTTGTATTTGAACTTTCCCTACCTGTGTTTATATTAGCTTGTATGGCTCAGAGGCAGATAATTTGTGCCTAAGTCCTCAGATAGGAGCTCTGGTGGCGCTAGGGTTAAAGCATTGGGCTGCTAAACAAAAGCTTGGCAGTTGGAACCCACCAGCCACTCGATGAGAGGATGAGGTAGTCTGCTTCCATAAAGATTTACAGCCTTGGAAACCCTATGGGGCAGATCTTCTCAGTCCTACCGTGTCATCATGAGTCAGAATTGACTCAGTGGCAGTGGGTTAAGTCCTTAGGTAACTCTCTTCCCAGCTCCTTAAGCATGAGCTACTGGAAGACCAGGGAACCTAGGTGCCTGCAGGACACTGGACAGAAGTGAACTTGTACATGTGAATAGCTCCAGAGAAAAGCCCCTGAGAGGCCGGGTTACTGGTCAGAGCTGGTGGCTCTGCCTTGGGAAGGAATAGCCTCTTGAAGCTGCTTTTATCATTAAAAAATGCAGTCCTTTTCTGCCTGGGATATAGCAGGAGAAACGTGATGGGACAAGAACAAGGCCTGCTCGGGGTAGATGTCCTCCTCTCTGGAGAGTGGGGGATGTCTTTGCAGGGACTCAACTCAGGCATAACAGGAAAAGCCTCCAAAGACAGTCACAGGCTTGGAGTCTGGAAATTGAGATCCCATACTCCAAATCTCAGTGACCACAGGCCACATGATGCTACCCCCTTAGGTTCCAAGACTTTTCCTGCACCAGGCCCATTGTATGCTCTCATCCACAAACAGCCTTGCAAGCTATGTGTTACAGAGGCCATGTAACTTGTCATCTAGATGGGCCCCAGGTGAAACAGGACACTAATAGTTACCTGGGTGGTCCTGGGCAAACCGGGCATGTGGTCAGCCCAGTTGCTGCATATGACAGAGGGCGTGGACTACTTGCCCCAGGTCAGACAGTTGTCCAGTGGCAGGGCTGGGATGCTAATGGTGTTCTTTCTAGCTGTGCGCTTTCTGTTGTACCGCCATGTTCCCAACCCTCTTGTTTTTTGTTCTATTCCACCACTTTTTATAACTTGCTGGTCAGTCTCAGAGTCCTGTGGCCTATACTGCCTACACCCCAAGTGTCCGTGAGAGTTTTCAGGTCTGGGGAAGCAATGCAAATACCTACATTAAAAAAAAACAGGGAAAACTTAAACGCTGTGCATGTGCTGTTAGACCACCTAACGAATGAATGAATGTCTGATGTGCACTTTCTTCCCTCTGGGCCTCCACAGTCTTGGTGATGGGTGTTGGAATGGCCTCAGTGGGAAGTTGGCCTCACGGCCCCACCTCCCTACTCTTGACTACCACTCTCTCCCTGCAGTTGTCTCTGGGGATGAGCCCAGGGAGAAGATGGACCTGGTCACCTACTTCGGGAAGAGACCACCAGGAGTGCTGCACTGCACAACCAAGTTCTGCGATTATGGGAAGGCGGCCGGGGCAGATGAGTACGCACAGCAGGACGTGAGTTCTCCCTAGGGATGCAGCAGACGTGGGGAGGGTGCACAGGGAGGGGCGCGGGGTCGCCTGGAGATGGGTGCCGGTGCAAGGCAGGGCCCCGCCGGAGCCCAGACAGCAGCTCAAGGACAACTGCACCCCTTCCCTCCAGCTCCCCCCTTCCCAGGCACAACCACAGAAACCTCTGGTTGCCTTTTATGGAGCCAGCCAGACAGTATTGCCTGCCCACAAGTCCCTTTCCTTCTGCAGATTCATGGAGAATGCTGGTCTGCAGCAGGCTACTGCTCCAGCCTCTCCGAGCCTGTATTCCAAAAGCTTTGGCCCCCAGGGAGTCTGGTGCTTAAAAGTTCCTGTCCCAGGTCTAAGACCTGGCTTTGCCCAAGTCAAGGGAGTGCTGTGGGACACTAAAGCTTATCGGCTTAGGGCTACCAGGCTTCTTCCCACCACACAGTCAGTATCCTGTGCCTATAGCTACTGAGCGTGAGTCTTCGACACCAGGTGTGTTGCCCAGATATATATGCATGGTTTGGTCTCCAGTCTCCTTCAACGTCACCTTTAATGAGGCCTCCTTCCCTGACCTCCCAGACCTTTTCTGCCTGGGTTCACAAAACTAATTACTTGTTTATTGGTGGTTTCCTCTCACTGGAATGGAAGTTCCCTGAGGACCAGGGATTTTGGTTTTGTTCACTGCTGTATTACTTTCCACTACCATTTCTAACCGTCCGTTCATTCAGCAATATTTGTCGAGCATCTGTGACATGGCAGACGCTGTTGGGACTAAGAATTAGGAGCAAAAAGCGATAAATCCCATCTCTCTCAGATGAGAGAGGTCTTTTCAAAGAATCCGATGCGTAGTCAGATATAAACCAAAGTGTGCACGGTGGGCTGTGATTGAGGGCATTCAGGGTTCATCTCATCCTGTCCTCCTGCCCGCCTCCCTGCCTGCCTGTATCCCTCCTGGCTTCCACTAGTAGCATTAACAAGGGTTCCTGGTTTGCATCTCATGTTATTCTAAGCTCCTCTACTCCTTTAATCCTCACACTAACTCTGAAGTAGTTTCTAGTACTATCCCTCTTTACAGGTGAATAAGCCAAGACACACAGACATTAAACAACTTGCTCAAAACCAAGCAGCAGTTAAGTGGTGCATTTGGTTTTGAACTCAGGTATCCAGCTTTTGACCTCTGCTCTCTCTGAGCACCTTTGTCTACCTTCAACAGCGTAGTGGGAAGAGACCCTCTAGCCCACAGGAGCTCAGCACAGGCGTCCATGGCTAGTGTGCCTTTAAGCACGACTTCTGTCCAGTGCTCACTCCTGTTAGACTCCCTGTTCTCGCCTGTGGAGTGGGCCACCCTCTGTCAGCTGTCCATGTCTCGAGGGACACCTCTAGCTGCTTGGTGCCCTTTCTTATCTTCCCAGGTGGTGAAGAAATCGTATGGCAAGGCCTTCAAGCTAGTCATCTCAGCTCTCTTTGTGACACCCAAGACAACTGGAGCCCGGGTGGAGTTAAGTGAGCAGGAGCTGCCGTTGTGGCCGAATGATGTGGACAGGCTGTCACCCTCTGACAGCCTGCCTCGGGGGAGCCGCGCACACATCACCCTGGGCTGTGCGAGTGAAGTGGAAGCCGTGCAGACGGGCCTTGACCTCCTGGAGATTGTGAAGCAGGAGAAGGGGGGCAACCGAGGCGAGGAGGTGGGTGAGCTACACCGGGGCAAGCTCTACTCCTTGGGCAGTGGGCGCTGGGTGCTGAGCCTGGCCAAGAAGATGGAGGTCAAGGCCATTTTCACGGGATACTACGGGAAGGGCAAACCTGTGCCTACACACAGCAGCCGGAAGGGGGGTGCCCTGCAGTCCTGCACCATCATCTGAGTGCCCTCGCCACCAGGTGCCCCTCGCTCCAGCAGGGGAGGGGGAGGGGGGACAGGGAGACATCCCTCTGCTTCATTTAAAAATTTTTTTTTTTTTTTTTTACTCAAAGTTAACCTACCTGTAACTTTTTAAAAACTTGTAAAATAACTGCTTTTCTCTCCCTGCCCACCCTCTTCCTCTCTAACACTCAAGGCCTCAACACAAGGGGGGTGGAGGGTAGGTAGGCACCATTCAGGAACCTGGGCCAAACCCAGAGAGGCCAAGCTGGGCCTGGAGCCACAGCCAGAACTCTTGAGCCCTGCTTCCAGTTACTGGTTAGCCCAGCCCCTGCCCTCAGCTCTGCTGCTCTGCCAACGCTGGGCTGGTGGAGAGGGACACCTGAGCGCTACAGATACCCTGCTGCCTGGTGGCAAAAGGCGGTGGGGCTGGGAGTGGTGACACTGCCATAGAAAAGGGGGACCCCTGGGCTTTGGTCCCTTTCTTAATCAGCACAGCCCCAGGCAGGCAGGGGCTATTTACCAGGGTAGAAAAAGGGGTTTACCTCCCACCTTTGGTCCTCCTTCACACCTTAACTAGGTAACAGTTTGATAACTAGGGAAGAAAACAGTAAGAAGCAGGAGCCATGTCTCTGCTGGCTGACTTCACTGCAGGAAGGGGATGGGCCTGCCTGCCTTCCCCCGTGGCGGGGGTCTACCAAGGGGTGGACATATCGAGGCCAGCCCAGTCCATAGGTGGGAATGCTGTCTGCCCAGCCCATCTTGCCTCCATGGTGCCTCTGGAGGCCTCGTGCCTCCTCTAAAGGGGGTTGGTGGGTACCAAAAAAGCCAATGGAGTGGGGTCCTGGCTGTTCTGGGCCCAGCCCACCTGTTTCTTTGGGAAGGGATTTTTAACACTGCTCCATGTGCTGTGGTTCCTGGTGCCCCCCACTGCCCCCTGCTCAATAACAGCCTTGCTAATCAGGTTGTTACTCAACAGAAGTACGTGGGATTTAAGTTACTGTCCTGGCTTTGCTCAACTTTAGCACCTTGTAAGACTGATAATGAAATAAATCGTGTTAATTCTAGCTGTGTGCAGTCTCTCTCCCCTTCTGTGCCCAGCTAGGTCTTCCCTGGGGCTCTGGCTACGTGTATTAGGACTGGCTTTGTCCCACAGCCTGGGGCCATCGGTCCTGTCTCCCCACTGCTGACTGGGCACAGCTGTGGTGAGGTTGGGCAGTTGAACAGTGTTGGCTTTCATGAGGAGGCAGAAAAAAAGAGAGGCTAGGCTTAGAATCACCAGGAGGTGGGGGCTGGCTGGGTGTGAGGGATGTGGAGCCCAACGCTGCTCATCCCTCTATTAACCAGTGTAAGGGGCCTGGAGAGCTCTGGTGGCCTAGCCCTATCCAATCAGACTTCCCAAGACTCAAGAGTTCCTAGTTAGGAAGGCCATTGGCCACCTCAGGTCAGTGCTACTTCAAATAGAAGGGAGGAACTGAGTTTCAAGAGTCCTTCCAGGCCAGCAAGGCTTGGCTGGCCAAAAATGAGACTTCCCAGGCCTAATGCAGTCATTTCACCAGGGCCTTGCCATCAAAGGGAACTCTGGTGGCGTAGTGCCTAAAGCATTTGACTGCTAACCAGAAGGCTAGAGGTTCAAACCCACCAGCCACTCCCCAGAAGGAAGGTTGGGCAATCTACTTCCGTAGTGATACCGCCTCAGAAACCCAAGGAGGGGTCGCTGTGAGTCGGAGCCGACTTGACAGCAGTGAGTTTGGTTTTTTTGCCATCAAAAGGCAAGACTGGGAAGAAGGGGAGAGGGGCTGTTTTGCCTAACAAAGTACCAGAAATGTAAGCTTCAGCCAGAGCTTCAAATGCTTCTGCCTAGAGCTCCTGAGAACGTATCCAAACACTGAGCTTGACCTGAACAGCAGGGCCTGCACTACAGCTTCCTTCCCCAGCTTGCCTCTTCATGAAGGGAAACTTGTGGCCAACGCAATGGCATTGACTAGTAAGAATGGTGTTTCCAGTTACGGGAGTCTGATGTCTGTGACCACATCCCTGGGCTCAGGAGTTGCCCATCCCAATTTGAAAACAGCTGGGGAGGCAAGATTTCACCCTCCTCTTACTCAGTGTAGCGCACAGCTGGCAGCAGGAACGATGGGCGTCTGTGCCTAGGTCAACCCAGCCTAATGCTTTGCACCAGCTGTTTTCTCAACCAGTGCCCGTGTCCAGCACCCGGCCGGGCGCAGCAGCACCCTCAGGGCCTGCTCAGCACCCATGCTTAACAAGTTTGGGAGAGGCAGCTGCACTTGACCTGCCACCAGATTCTGGGTGCATGCCCCTATGGGGTGCTCTGCTGAGTCTCAAGTCCACGCCAGGATCAGACATCCATGCTTATTAGGGCTTGGCTCTGGCCCACTGTGGAGGGACACAAAGCCAGAGCAAAGGGCCAGAAAGGGTCAAAACATTTTATTCTCTTCATTTTTTCTTCTTTTTTAATAAAGTTAAACAGTACAACAAAAATTCACAAGCTGCCTCCCTATCCACCCCCCGCCTCCCGCCCCTACCCAAGTCTTCGGTGCTGGCTCCCTTTCCTTCACCCCACTCACACGGACAGAGGTATCCAACTGAGAAAATGAAACTGCTCTAAGTACACGGAGACATGATGAAGGGAGGCGTCGAACTGTGTCCATATTCAAGGTCAAACTGAGCAAGTCTGCATTTTCTGGGGTCTGGATGGCTGGTTTCCTTTCATTAGCCAAACTGAAAAAAGAAATTCCCTGGACCAGATGCTAGAAGGGAAAAGAAGGGCTTGTTAGCTGGCTCTCGATTTTCCAGGGGTGATCACTTTTCAAACCAAGTGTTGATGACGTGAAGTCTTCCCTCAAGCATAAACAACGGGGTGAGGGCACGTGCCTGCCGCTTCTGGCCATGGCATTCTAGCAGAGTAGCTCTGGCAGCAGGCAGCTTGACGACACCTCCCCGCCCCTCAGAGGGGCGGTACCAACGGTCCCAAGGCAAGGTGCAGCTGGGCATCGCCCCTCCTCCAGCCTCAGCTAAGTCCACACTGAGTGGGTGGATGTTGTGCTCGGTAAGAATTCCGCTGCCTCCACTCATGGGACCCTCTGACTCCCAGAGAGCTGCCTACTGAGTAGTCTGTGTCCACTACGATCTGGGGACTTGAAAGCAGCAGGTATACCCACCTTCAAAGCTGAAGCCCCCAGGACCACCGAAGAACGCCTTGAAGATATTGTTTGCGTCAAAATCTGGAGCAGAGCAAGTAACACGAAAGGAAGAAAAGGACAACAAACTTAGAAGTACTTGAGGAACTTAACCGTGACCCGAAGAATGGATCTCTAAACCCTTCCCAGACAGTATCACTTCACTCCTTTCCCAACGTTTCAGACTAGAGGTGAGTACATCAGTCCCACCTCATGTAAACGTTATCACTTGATCCCACTACTAGGATACACTCCTTTCTTCCAAATGTGGTCCCAAAGCAATGCTTTCCTTACTTAAATCTGGTTCACTGTGCCTTCTCAACAACTGGGATGCCATCTGCACTCACAGATAGAAAACTTTGTAAATTTTCAAATCTTTTGTTTTTTTTGCCCCCACTTTTCTGTTGCCCTATAATGTTGGGGCTGTTACTGAAAAGGCTAAAATTACTAAAATGATACCAAGAATAAATGACAAGACCAATGATTTACTGCATCTGTCCGAGTCCATGTCTATTGCTCTGTTTAGATTTTAAGCCAAAAAAAAAAAAAAGCCATAGTTTATTAAGCACCTGAGCCAAAAACCAAACTTACTGCCACAGTCGCTTCTGACGCATAGCGATGCTACAGGACACAGCAGACCTGCCCCCTAGGGTTTCTAAGGCTCCAAACTGTTATGGAAGCACACAGCCATATCTTTCTCCTATGGAGCGGTAGGTGGGTTCAAACCACCATCCTTTCAGTTGGCAGCTGAGCACTTAACGACTGTGCCACTGGGCTCCTCTATTAAACATCTACTAGCATCTAAGCACCAATTGTGGTGCTGGTTACATTGCATTTAATCTAACAGCAATTTGTGAAAGGATGTATTCCTGATTTACACAAGACATGTACAGATGTTTAAGTAACTAGCCTAAGATCACATGGCTAGTAACAGCAGAACTGAAAATTTCAACTTAGATTGGACCCCAGTGCTGTGCCTTTTTACCAGCTGTTTACCACAGCCCCACCTGCTCCCCTGATCTGCACAGCAGCTGACCACACAGGCCCACTGTGTTCACAAGTGAACGCCTCTCGGCCTGCATTTCTGCTCACCTCCCTGGGTCCCACGTGCTGAAGGAATGGCCCCATCGAGTCAGTCAGCTATCTATGCCAAAGCCACTCTAAACTTAAGTCCTCCTGACACAGTCAGCAACCTATTCCTGTTATGTTTACCACCTAGCTCCTAATTGTGCCTTCAATCCTTTCCTATCTTCTGTCATCATCTTTCTACCTGTTTATCCTCTTTCAACCCCTCCAGCTCCCCTCTCTTCACTGCCATCACAAATGTATTATCACAAATACATTTCTGGAGCCCAAATCTGGTCCACAGCTCCCCTACTTCAAATCTTTCAATAGCTTCTGATGGCTTACAGTAGCTGTTTTCAACTGCTAGGGAGCACAACATATTTCTTAGTAAACCTAGGTTTATTACATAGACTGTAGAAGACTAAGGGTTATGTATCATCAATCTTATTTTAAACTAACTGATTTTCTTAATGGGGGAGAAAGAGTAACATTCAAGAGAGTTGCCTAAGGACCAGGTTTGCTGGTCTGATAGAGCCTGGTGGAATCCCTGAGACTATGGCCCCTAACTGCCCTTCAGGTCTAGAACTGAACCCACACCTGTGGCTTCCAGCCAAGCAAAAGACCAGGCATAGGTGGTAAACATTTACCTGAGGTAAATATAGTCCTTGGAGAGAATAATCATGGGAGAAAGAAGGGCTGCTTATGCACAGGGAGACAGCTCAGGGGGCAGGGGTGCATG